AGTGACGATCCCGTAATTTCCATGGAAATCCCCTTCCACTGATCTAGACCCGGTGACTGCACTGACACCCGTACGGGGTGTTTAACCTCTGCACCGTAAGGGCGGTAGCGTCGTGGGTGGCCAACTGATTCCATCTCAATCGATTGAACGATAATATTATGAGCGCAGGACCATACACCGCACAATTCATGTCATGCACAGTGAATTCGTTCATGGGAGGAGCTGAGACAGCTCTTTTACTCATCTCATTGTCTAATATTAGATAACTATTGATAGGAATATCACTGAAAACCTTACATTTGTTTACTTATTTATTTCATGGAATAGACGTTGCTGTTGTTGTTTTTGTGGGCTGTTTTTTATCCTTGAGCTTTACTTTTTTCCATTCATTTTGTCATCATTGCAATGTCATCGCTGTACTCGAAATCGCCAGCTGACATTTATCGAGCTATTCTGACTATCCAGTTGTTTATCATATGAATAATGCCACATGATATACCTAAACGTTCCTCGGAGCTGTCGCAAGATACGGGACATCCTCTAAGACTAGCCTAGGAGGGCACAGGATGTTCGGGAAAAAAATGAAAATTGCTCACGCACTCTGGGGTCTCTTCGTCCCCATCTAGGGCTTAGCCCCGTTTTACCCAAAAGAAAAAGATGATCTACGTGGTTTAAAATGCCCCCGTATCTTGCAATAGCGCCCTTTTCTTGACCCTATTTATCGTTTCTTGATCTCTCATGCGGATCTATTTCTGTCATGTTTACATTGACCTACCACATTTACAATAGTTGTAGTAAACGTTTGGCAAGTTGGCGCTGTTACCCTATGGGAGGCGAACTCTTAGGGGACGGACATATGTGCATAGTTGCCGCCAGGGTCAACCGTGACGTTCGCACTTTTTCAAAAATTTCACGGCTCCACCCCCCCTCCCTTAAAGGAATCTTCCACGGAAAAAGCTCCGCCCTCATTACCACAGAAAACGATACCTTAAAGGAATCTTCCACGGAAAGAGTGATCATTTTGTCTTGTGTGTAGGATTAGTATTATCGAAACTAACGCTTATGTTCCGTTCTTTTTGCTATGCTCATGAGGCTAGGGGCCTAAGGGGTATCGTTTTTCTGTGGTAATGGAGGCGGAGCTTTTTCCGCGGAAGATTCCTTTGGGAGTGCTCCAGCGACCCCACGCGCTAAACATGAGACTTAGGAGGCTCCCCTAACACGACGCACCCGTTCACTCCGACCACCGTCCTCGCCATCATAGCTGTTTCTATAGCATTTGATTCTGAGAATTCTGAGACCAGCCGACACAGCCCAACTCCGCCCACTTTCTTCTCCAAGCCGGTCGAGAGGGGGGCGGGGAGAGGAGGAGGATCCCAACTAAGCGATCTAAATCACCTCGTCATCGTCGTTCACACCCAACAAATAACTATCCAATTACTATCTCATCCATATCGCGCACTCACAGATCGCCCGTCCTTCCCAACCTAAAAGTGCGACCCCCTCGTTCGAATAGTGCGCACGCACAGAAGACCCTGGTTGCTGCAACAGCTCATGAGGGTTACGGTAATCTCAATTTTGCACATCGTGTTCCTATAAACTTACGTATATCGATATGACGCCATTTCATCGGATTTATGTTATCATTTCTTTGTTCTTTGTTGTTCTTTCTTCTTTGTTGTTGTGTTTTACGTGTTCGATGCGAAAAAAAGATTGCGGGGCGTTAATCGCAATCAATACCGGGGCTTTTGATGCACTTGTTCGTGCCGCCTCTAGCAATCTAAATTTTGTCAGCACCGGAATTACCGGAGCGAAAGCGGGAGAGAATGGGCCTTGCGCAACCTCAAAAGTTCCGCCTTCCAAAATTGGGGTTATTCTAGACGGTACGAGCTATCGTACCAAATGCCCTGCCCACTTCTTCCTCCGTTACTATAGCACCATATTGTGAGCTATTGGACAAGCATTTGGAGGGAGGGACTCCGTTTTAGGGGCTTGATTCAAATCACCTGCGATTGCCCCTATAAAATCCTCATCACATGGTTCACTGGGCGTGGATTGCTCATTTTGAGCGTTTTTCAGCTTGCCGTACCTCTGAATGCCTTGGAGCCACCATAATACATAATCACGCCTTTCACCTCATAGGATAGCCTCGCTGCTTTGTCTGGAGCTTCATCTTTTTACTCGATGTATCATCGCTTCAAATTCACTCTCTTTACTACGCTACTCTCGAAATCATAACACTCTCTCGTAATTCTGGCTACCCAGTTTACGCCATATCTATTACTGTACAATGGTATTGCTACCGTTGCTCTCCGAGCTTTGGCTTACCATTGAAACCGGTCGGACGGAATGGCACCACTTTTTACCGCACCATCTCCGTACACTAAAGTAAGACATCAACAAAAAACGAACACATCTCTGGATACGCTGGGTAATAAGCTCTAGACCAAGGATACAATCTGATGATTTTTGTTGTTTCGTTCAGAAATCTACTGCTTTCAAAGGTTTACTCTTTGCTACTATAAACGCTTTGCTACCTGTTTTAGGAGGTTCTTAGTATGCGCGAGGGTTCCCCATGTAATTATTGGGTTGGAGCATAATATCGTAGCGTTTTTTTAGGCGTATAAATTCAATCAGTACAAGTGAAAGCCCTGAAAATAAGTATTTAAAGCGCTTTTTCCCGCTCTACAAAAGCCTGATTTGTCATTTCCCTCAAAATTATATTTGTACTCATACATAATGCTTAGAAGTTGGAAAATTCAGACGGCAGAAATCGGCATTTCGACAGCTGCTATTTTTCGGTTCACATAAAGAAAAAATACCGTCAAGAACAAAAGTTCTTTAGAATCAGCTGTTCTTATCGAAACCTTGTTTTGATCAACCCTGCCTTTTCGCGCCAATTACAACCATATTTTTGGAATACATATTGAGATATGTAATACTTCGAGAACCAGCGCCGCGCTTTTTTATATTCTAAATCCGGTGAATTTTTGCGGAAAAGAATAAAAGTCGTAAATAATGACAAAGTGAACAACTGTGATCAGTTCGCTTCAAACGTTTGTGTGCAAAAATGAAAAATGCTAGCGCTACGGTATTTAACCTCCACCCAATACTTCTCTCTGAGTTTGCTGAACATGGACTTCGTTAGCGTTTCCGGGTAATTCTTGTAGGTGAAGGGTTGAGGCGATGTATCATATGAAGCTACTACCCTCCGAAATGGTTACCTTTTCCGCGCTTGATGGATTACTTTAAAACTGCTGGACTCATAACATGGGTCTATAAAATGCTTTGACAAGGACCTTCCTCAACGCTTAGGTAGCAGAGACCTTCCTGAACACTGGGCCTGGCAAGGTGGTAATATATAACACATCTTTCGAGATTGTTGATGCGCAGGGTTGTCAATACGAGTTTTTTTTCTCTTCGTTATTGAAAAGTCTATGTGGAGGGGCGCTTTCACTTCCACTACCAGGAACACCAGCACAACACTGCCTATACCACTCTTTTGATTTTGAGGAAGGCAGAAAATCATGAGTGCAAGACAATGCAACAGCTGGTCGGGATATCCAAGGACGGGGGGGCCATATTTGTAACATTTCTTCGTCAAAGCGTGCTTACCGATAAACTTTTTCTATAGTGATTGTGATTAGGAAAAATTCAACGGCGCACACCGTGCCCGGTGCACATGAGGCCACATTCGACCGGAGTTCTCTTCTACGCCTTGCACGCACAGCTCACATTGCGGAGGTGTCCACCCAATATGCCAAGCACTTTTCAGGACATGAATTGTCAGTGGTACGTAAAAAACCAAAATCCATCGACCCTCATGACCTCGCTTGCCTTGAGCCCCGATAAGGCCCGCCGAACTCGACACTACATCATACCGGCTTCACTAGTCTAGTTCACTGAAATTCGATTCCATCAGACAAAAAAAAGCGTCTTATAATGGCGGTGTTCAGGCATATATGTCAGGAAGTCTTGTAACTCTCTATGTTCTAATGCCCACACTGGTTGACCTATAGCTTTCCTGATGAGTCTGTCAGATTTCATCTTGTGCTGCAGCTGGAATGTGCCATCGTTTGACTACCTTGGGTATTCCCTAGTGAGTGAATTCTAGTTTCTTATAATCTTTGTTCCTTCTTCAGACCTGATTTTCACGCAAACGAACTTTCGGTGCGTGACGGCCTCTTCCATCAATTTCTTTGCCATGTCACGTTGCTGAGTCCTGAGTCACTTTCTTTCGTCGAATGCACGTTCATTGTTCTTAGTTCTCAGATTTTGACGTCATTTGTCCTCCTCTATCTTTGCCGTCCAACAGGTTCGTTACGTTCTGGCCTGATATTCCGCTCACCGCATCAATTACTGGGGTCTATTCCAGTAGGGGGCCTGTGGCTACTGCATCCACGCCGATCAGAGAGAGATTCCACGTTTGGCAGGGAAGGTAAGCTCAGATTGGGTCGTCAAGCGCGAAAGCGATCCCTTTCAGCCGCATCTGGCTGACTCCCTCCTCTGGCAAAAGGTCGGAATTACTACAGCGGCAGATCTTGTACTATCCATAAGTCCCCCGTTATTGGAATAGCATCCACGTTACCCTATTTGCCTACGATTCAGCTCTGGCCAGTTGGAGCCGACAGCTTACGTAGGTTGGGCTGCTTCCAGGATCGGGGCGCATCGCTAGGTTCGTGCGGCGTACGCCCTGTCCTTTTCGGTGCACATTCGCTACTGTTTTAGCTCAGCTAATTCGTCTACTGCAATACCACAATCGATCGTCTATCGAATGAAATGACTCTTGAATGCTCGTGAACGATCATTGCGCAAAATAAGTGGAATCAGGCAGAACAGTACCCGCTTCGTTGGCAAGTGCTCGTTCGTGTCATCTCCACTTGTGCCTTTTGTGTTCGCTCGAGCGCCACGGTTCACACGTTGCGTGACCGTCTCAACACTTGCGTGTGCTACGGAAGTTACGGTGATTTCGCATGTGCTTAAACCCCGTTTTAAGGGTTTCTATGAAGGGTTTGAAAACAAGTACAGTCTTGATACCCTTAACCCTTTCGGCTGAGGCGTGACACTTGCCACAACCAGATTCGAAGGCCTGCTTTAGCAGCGCTACAACATACTTCTTCTGCTCACTGCCAGAAATCTCGTCAATGCCTTCTTTTCCTCTGTCCGATTTTGCTTTTACATCGCCCATTTTATCCTTAGATGGAATGGGAAGCCAATTAAGAAGGGGAAAATTTCCAGTGAAAATAATTCAGAGCTGAAAGGGTATAAGTGCTCGACCGGACTATTTAGCTGTTTAAGCTGGGCTAACATAAGTGTATCAGGGGTCTACCAGACAACCACATTACATTCTATCGGTCATGTTTCTGCTGAGAACTACTTCTTCAGAGGAGCCTTAATGTCAATGAGGGACCAGATAATTTCTCCTGCACGATCTCTGCCTCTATAATAGATCATACTCATTTTTAGGTTCATTACCATTAAGGCGCTTGGCATTGAGTTTTTCTTTTTGGGATAGAAAGTAGAAAGCGCATGGCGCCACACTTTGCGCTATGCGCTTTCTAACTTTTGTTCGAACTGCACTTTCAATTTGAATGCGACTTCCGCTAAACTGACTTATAAGGGCCATAAGATATCTGTTTTTGCCCAACAGACGGGCCTCAACTATCAATTAATCGGCTAGGGAGGGTTGAAATTCTTGATTGGCCTCGGCGAGGTTCATCCCCTGACCGCACTCTTGGTGAGCGGTGGTTTACATGTCCTCCAACCTTTCGGTTTTACAAAATTGAAATTCGTTATTCAAGAGAGAAACCACTACTTGAAGCACCAATTTCAAAACGGAAAACTGGGCCTTTGAAAAACTACCATTCAAATCCTTGAGAAGTCGCCTAGGGAAATCCTTTTTAGCAAACTATAGTAAAAGAATAAGCCGTGTACGCAGGAGGGCACATTTTTGTGACATTTTGATATGCCCTATAGCTTCTAACTATGATATATAATGCAACAAAAGCATTGACCACTTGGCATATCCTCGTTGAGAGAGGAAAAAAGATATTTGCGTGGAAATTGTTATGGGAAAGATGGTCACCAAACAGATTATAATAGGCACTTTAAATTCGATGTGATTGCCATTTGGCCAAAAGCACTAAAAAAGACGTCAAGTACAATCCTCTGCAACAACAATGGAATTTAGATGAAGTGGTGGCTCAGAAATCTGGTACCGTAACCGGGCGATTTTACAAGGATTTGCTCCGTCGAGATGAGAAGGCGTTCTGGGATACATTCGCCTTGGCCACAGCAATTTTCGCTGGACAGTGCCTGGTAAGTTTCTAAAACCTATGCCAAGAATTAGGACATTTCCACCATGGAGCTTCATGTCGCATTACAAAGACGTGGTTGAACGGATTTTGGGACTTTTCAATGTTACTTAGAGTTTCGGATCTTTTCCAGTTAGGAGGGGCATTGCGGTGCACAGTCTGCTCTAATGCCAGTTTGGCTCAAGGAGTCCTTTCAAAGTTACAAAGTGCTATCAGCTTTATTCCTACGTTGTTTCTTCTGTTTTTGTAAAATGTATGAACTCTTGAATTTTACAACATAAACATTAATGACGCGAAATTAAGTCTAGTGATGGTATAAAGGTGCACTTTAGCACCGGAATATTTACTGTTGGGCAGCTAGAGTGGGAGCAAGACCCCGGAGAGGAAAGCCGAAGATTGCTGCGGGCGGAACCCAGGTGTCCACTCTCGTTCTGGGCTGGGTCCAACTTTTATTGCTTTCTTAGTGTTAGCGATCGATGAGTCAGTAGTGGCCAGGCTTATCTCTGTCACATCTCTTCATGATCTCTATTTCAATCACAATGTTTACTATACGATAAATAGCATCGAAGACCAAGGAATCGATAACCCGTGAGTACACTTTTCTACTTAATTCTTTTATGATTTTATTAAATTATTTATTACCTAATTATTCATATATTTTGCTAGCCTTGTGTGGCCTCGTCGTACAATCGCAGTAGAACTCACAAGAAAATTCCAATTTTTCTCACTGTTTTCCCATTATCATTCTATTCGTACTTCTTGTCTTATTTCTGAACAAAACGGCACATCATTTCAATCGTGACCGGTGCCTTTAACTCACTGGAGCGACTATTTCTTCTGTATGAAGCAGTTCGATTCGCAATTGCAGAGCAGCTCCTCTTCAACAAGTCAAAACTGCGAAAGTCCGAATCAAAATGCAAAAGGCAGTGGACTGCGTAGGAGTCTATTGAATACTTCCAGCCATATGCACCCATGTCTATTCACGCCCATGGGTGTGAAGGTGTGGGTGTCTGCGTCTCTCTCGCCCCTATGCTCTCTTATCTTCAAGTCTTTCTCTCCCCTGCGCAGTGCCTCTTTAACACTGCGGGTCTATTTCCAAAAAAGGAAGTCCCTTATAGAACAGGAATATGATGAAAAATTACCCGGATATCCATATATAACTATCTAAGTGTGAATATTTAAAAAAAAACATGTGAAGGCTGGGAAATGTTGTAGAACGGATTACTGTGGAATGTTCAGAATTGCAGTGATCAACGAATAACACAAGATGTGGAAAAATTGTGCAATGTTCTGGCGACGAAGCTTACTCCATCACTGTTGATAGCGCCGTTCGTGATCGCCTTCTACACGTTCAAGACTTGGCAGACGTAGGTTCAGAAAGCGTTTTTTTTCACATGGAAACTTACATATGCAAATTTCAAAGTACATATGGGCGCTATCGCAATATACAGGGGCATTCTTAGGACTAAGCCTAGAGGGGCAGGAACTCCGGGGAAAATGAAAATGGCTCACGCACCTGGAGTCTCTCCTCCCTGCCTAAGGCTGAGTCCCTTTTTAACAAAAAGGAGATGTTTTACGCTGTTTATATTCTGCCACCACAATGCCCCTGCATCTTGCGATAGCGCCTACACGTGCGTCACTGAGCTGAAACCCCTCAAAGTTTCTCAGACCCCAGTTTGAACAAGAAAATCTCCAGCTTCTCAGTGGGACTGTTCTGTGATTCCTGTACTTCCCATTAGTGCGAGTCATTTCATTGCTTGCCAAACGAATTCAGATGCGCTCAGAGGAGTGTGAGCGGTTCCAGGTAGTTCCACCCATACATCTGACTCGACCTCTGCCCTCAAAAGAATTGAAAGCCTGATCTATAACTATAGGGCCACTGACCCGCTTGTCAGGTATAGTAGAGGCATTCACCTCTACGGTCCCTGACAAGCGGGTCAAATTTCAGCCTCAGAAAGCCTAACTAAAGCGCTAGATTGGACCTTTGTCCTCGAGGGTCTGCCTCTAATATATATGTATCGGCAACCCTCAACAACCAGAACATTTTCTTTCGCGCCAACTTCTTCAGAATATCTGACTGAACTTTTGCATCGTTTTGACTTCTAGAAACTTCTTCAAATATCTCAACACATTCTTTCCACTTACTTATTTTCAGAGCTGGTGGCTTCGGTGTAGGGTTCATTTACGTGTATTTCATTATTGGAGCAGTACTAAATCGTATTCTCATTTCACCTCTCACAAAATGGGCAGCCAGAGTGGAAAAAGCAGAAGGTGACTTCCGGTGAGGAAATTGTTCCTCTGACGGATTGACGTGCGCTCAATTTCTTGACTTGGGTTTTTTTTTAGTTTCAAACATGTTTCCGTGCGAAATCACGCCGAAGAAAGCGCTTTCTATCGAGCTGCCGACTTTGAGCAGAACTCTTCCAATGAGATATTCTCGATGCTGTGGAACACTCAAAGAAAACTCGTTTTATGGCAGTTCCCCACGCAAGGTTAGTTGAATTTGTGATGTACTGGATATATACGAAAAATGGGATATTTTTCGGAAAAAGAAGAAAGAAAAAAGAGAGAGAAAGAAGAAAGAAAGATAAAACACTAGGACTCTCAGCCTAATTCGAGTGCATGGCGCACTCCGTTCAGAGGGTGCCATCTTTCGAAAACGCAAATGGGAGGGTGGTCAGTGATACTCAGATGAAGAAAAAGCTGCCTAGAATCCGGGAAATGGGATTCTTCTTTGCCTTAATTTCCGCATTAGCAGCTCTCATCGGTCTGCCCCTTCAACGCTAATGCACCTTCTGCTAAACGGTAAGAGCCAGGCGGCGAGGGAGTGGGCGTGCCGGGGCGGGAACGGTGCCGGTAGACCCTGATAGGCCGCTAGGACCATACTCTTTGTAGCAAAACGCGTATCGTTCTACACCTTTTAAGGGGCTCGCCTGCCTCTTCCACTAGGTATATTCCCCTACTTCGACCTTTGACCTTATCGTGGAAGCCCCACTCAAGCGTATAATCTTCCTGCAGATCGAAATATTGTCGATAAATTTTTGGAGTTCTATTCCTTCACAAGTCTGCCATCAAAAGCGGTCGTGCAGAGCCTAGCGGGCTCAGGGTTCAGTGTTATTGTATCCTATCCCACAGGCCATATGATGTTGATGTTGATACGGTAACTGAAGCAGTTTCATCACTCCTGCTTATTGTTTGAAGAAAATCAGGTTCAGCAGCCCTTTGAAAAACTAATGCATGTTCAAAGCCTTTCCTTCAGTCTCGTCTATGCAGGGCTTTGTATTGCATGGAGAGGCTCAATGCAACTTTGAAGGAATACCTGAAACAGTCGAAGGTTTCAAGGTTTGAGATCAAAAATTTAATTTTTAGTTCTCCAGTTCTTCTTCGACTACTATGGTGGAGTATTGTCCTATGCGATCCAAGTCTTTCCAATCTTCATTTTTGGAACGTACAACGATCTCGATCAAGCCTCATTGGGCGAAAAGATTAGCAACGTTGGTAACAACCCTATATTTCAAATTATTTTTTGACTATCGTTGCAAAAAAGTTTGCAACGGCTGTTCATTGCATTTTTATTTACTTTATTATACCACCAGATTAGTCCCCCGTCAACCGCCGGGACCTTCCTTTCCTGCGCAAGCTTTCTATCCTCCGCTATGGTCCCTTCCTCCTGTGACACCAACACCTCGTGGAAGTGACGCGTATGCAACACAATGGTGTTTCAAACAGTAGAAGGGACACAATCATGATATGACGGTAGATTTTTCGCTTCCCTTCCTCATCCTCCCTTCCTCTCTCCACTGCCCTCCAGCTGCCACTGCAGCACCATGTGGAATGAACGGAAGTGTGCTAAGCAGGTGTTTATATAGCCCTAAGAGTGTTATCACAACTATCCTGCTACAAAACATTGATATCTCAAATCCTGTAAGCTACCCGATTTGTTAGCGGTTTGTTTATCCCATGAGCTTCCTTCTCACTCACTTCATTTTGCGGACGGACACACATACATACACACACACACACACACACACACACACATACAGATACACAAACCGACACACAAAGTTAGCGCTTTATAATATAGTAGGATAATATCGTCAGATAGATACTGATTGAAGTAATGCGTTGCGGAGAAAAAAAGTTCGAAGCGTCTCATTGCCGTGTGCGCGCCATGCACACGACTCCTATTAGAAATCTTTGATGCATAGAAAGAATAATAGACTGTATAGAGAAATAGAAAGACAATGTGGAAACATAGATAAACTAATTGAGAGTTTTCGTGAAGAATCAACAAGAGTAAAATTCCGCAGGGTTGTTTTTCATGCTTTCCTGGGTCTGGTAGCTCTTAGTGCGAAGACTATTCAGTAACATTGATTGCCAAGAGCAGAATTTAAATTCCGCATACAATATCATGCGATGTGGTAGTGAGGGTCCCCTGCAATTTCTAGACGCTCTGTCCCAAATATAAAGTATTGTCAAAATAAAATACAGCGTGTTAATAACCATCCCCGTACGTCTCGGTACGGTTAAGTCACTGCCCGTATCTTTTCGGAAGGGTAAGCCTTCGCTTGCCCTTTCAGATAGGTAGCCGACGCATATCCTTTTGATCATAACTTTTCAAATTAGACTGTGTGGCAGGCCAGCAAATATCGTCATGAACATAGGATTTATGCTGTTTTGTGCAACAAGAAACCTCGTGAGAAGTTAATGGAAACTATTCCTGGTAATTTTTCAGAACGCTTTTTAGCTACATGCTATTTGATTAACGACGCTTTACAACGAAAACTCACCGATTTAGCCTTAAATATTGGAGAACTTGGTGGATACGTTCTGAGGTCAGTTGAAATTCAGGGCTCTTTTCAGTTTTTTTTTTTTAATTTCTCCAAAATTTTTTAGAGTGTCCGAAATCGTGCGATGTTCCCAACGGTGAACAGGGCATTGTCAATGATGCGTTCGCCACTGACGTGGTCGACGATAGCGATGGACGGGCGGATCTGGCGTTCAGCATTCGCCATTTGTCCTTCAGTAAACCTTACGATGACGAGGAAGAAGCTGGTTTCAGGTGAACTCCTAGATTTTTTTTACCTTTATCTTCTGTTTTTTTTTTCGAAGTTCTAAAGCCAGTAAACAATGAATCAATAGGTTTATGTTTCCAGACTTGACCGTTGACATTCCTTTGGAAAGCAGCCTAATTGTGACCGGACCAAGTGGTGCAGGGAAATCATCTCTGCTTCGGGTGCTTGCAGAACTGTGGCCAAATAAATCAGGTTTCCATGTTCTCCATCTGAATAGTATCGACCTTATTGAATTTGCCTTTTTTCCAGGTAGTGTACTACGGTATTTACCACCAAGAAGAGACTATCTGTATCTGCCACAGCGGCCATATCTGCCTGTAGGACGTTTATCATTGCGACAACAAATTTGCTTCCCGAACATCCTTCGTGACATGTTTGACGACGAAAAAGAAGCAGGTCAGGCTGCCCATTATTTCAACCGAAGATAAGTAATGAAGTTTAAAACATCAGCCTCTTATAAGGCATATTGCCACTAATCTGAAAGAGAGGTGGTACGATAAATCGGATTCTGAAGAAGTATGCATTTACTTCACTGTCAAGGGGAAATGGCCTCTGGGAAATTGTTCCGTAATCCGCGGGGAATGCGACCGCTTATGTAAGTAGTGACGCTGAAAAAGCTTCAGCCAGCAGTGACAGCCGCATCACTACTCCCCTCGCACCCCGCCCCCCTCCGAGGTGGCCTATGAGTGGGTTGGTCTGCTGAGGTATTTCGCCATCTGTGATGAATAACTATAAGATGGCAGAGTGCATTCACACTTCTAAATTCAGATATAATTTAATTTTCGGCAGCGCGAAATCAAGGGCAGTCCTTTTTTTCCCAGCAAGGCTCGCATCAATTGTTATTGCACGCATTAACCAGGCTTTTATTTTAGCAGCCGGCGAATCCAATTAGTGCGCATTACCGCGAAATGTTGCCCTTCGCTAAGCCGGTGTTCGAACGAGAGAGCATCCGTTCAGGAGAAATAGGTTTCTTTCATACGGAGCAAGATAGGGTGTGGGTCAGGAGGTAAGGATGGCAGCTGTGTGCCGATAACCGCTTCCCAAATGGGTGTTTTGCGAAGTCCCACGAAGCGCAGTTCATTTGTACATTGAAACGCGCAAATTCCGCTCGCAGAGATGTGATTTGTCCGCGACTTTATAACCCTCCTGAGGGGGAGAACGGGTCTCCTCGATATCATAGCGATTTTTTACTGGAAGCCTCCTTACTGCAGTGAATTCATTCTCACATGCTCCGAACCTTGGAATTACGGCCCTACTAAGGGCTGTCCTGGCCACATTAAAACAAATTGGTTTCCCGGCCAGATTTTTTTCCCGGCTCCCCCCACTCTTCGTTGAGGGGAAAGAAACATGACCTTGGTACTAACTAGGGTTCGCTCAGGGTGAATTATGGCTAGTTCGTAAGTGACGTTGTTGAGTATGGGCACTTGTCAGTGATCAATAGCAATATTTTCAGAGAACGCTAGAATCATGAAAATCCTTCACGAGTTACACTTGACTGCACTTATCGAAAATTGTGGCGGTTTGGATAGCGAAGTGGATTTTGAGTGGTAAGTGAATTCTAAATTGGAGAAAACCCGTGATTGTTATACTGAGAGAGTTTAAAATGGTACGAAGACCTTTCAGGCAAGACACTTTGTCTCCCGGTGAACAGCAACGCCTTTCCCTGGCCAGGGTAATTCTTCATCGACCAAGAGTGGCAATTTTGGACGAAGCTACAAGCAGCATTGACGCGAATGACGAAAAAGACATATACAATTTACTTCAAAAGGTACCACCTTACGTCAATCTTCAAGGATGCATATTATTTTCCTCGTCAAAAATAAAAACGAAACAATAGCCATTGCGCAAAATGCTTTTGTTGAAGCCATTTCCGAAGTCGTGGATGGTTTGAGACGTCTAGAAACGCCCTCTTTCTTGGGGATTCACACTTCCTTAGAAGAGCTGTCTTCTTCCACATGCGTGGGTAATTCAGGGTAAACTGTCTCTTCGCAATACTCCAAATGAAAGGGTCACATTCATGATTCTGGGAAAGGAGAGGGTCGCATTCGGTTGAGTAAGAAAGCGAAGGTTATTTCTAAGTTTCAAGGGTAGTGATTGTTGGAAAGGGGTTGTTTTTGACGAGTTCTGTTTTACAATTATGGCGAAAGCTTTACGGCAGTAGCATAAAATAGACAAATTTGGTGGATTTGCCACTTATTTATCACTTGTGGCCTCCCTCTCTCGTCCCTCCTACTAGGGCCCATGTGGGAGCCTCCAAGACTGTGGTGGGGTGATGGGAGTCGCAAATCTAGCAACCGCCTGAGGGAGAAGGTCGCAAAATTCTCGAGAACGCGACAGTTGACGCTGGGGTAATCCCCTCCTCCTCCGGATTGGTGTTAATATTACGATGAATTACCTCAGGAAAATATTGAAAACCGTGAACAAGTTGATTTCTTGCTGTCCACTAAAATTGAACAACAGCAGTTTTAAGTGTTGAAAGCTTCTGTCAGTGACTTGACAAAGGGGCTACATCCAGAAAAAGCAGGAAAAAACCCAGCACCAAACCTCCCCTAAATTTTTCTTGCATTTTATTTGGGATAAACACTTCTAACTTCCCAAGCATTTATTTGCAGTTTTTAGTTTTAAAATGGTTTTTACAATTTCTTGAATAAAATATCTGTAATTCAGGAAAACATCTCTTACATCTCCACGGGTCATCGTGAAACGCTCCGCAATTACCATAATTTGGAACTGCAACTTGGTAGAAATTCCTCTGCAACTACGTATATGCGTCATGATTCAAATGCAGGACAACAAGAAGAAACTCAACACTCGGATCCTCATAGGCAAGATAAAACGTAAAACTAGACAGTATTCAGCAAAAACTACACAAAATAACAAACAGCACCACGGATCAAGCATACACAGATAGGTGCTAAAAACGAGAAAAAAGAAAAGCAATGTGTCAAAATGTCAAAACGGCTATTATGTCCAAATATAATGTCAAGGAGCTATAATGTCAATTGCGTGTAAATGATGAGGTGATTAGTTATCACTGCAAATGATATGACGAGAATAAGATCGGATACCCTGTACCTCACAGATATTAAACCGGATTCGTCGGTGAGGTTGCTGGAGTGAACTGGGGTGCCGCTGATTCCATCCTAAGAATAACAAGATATTTCATGTCCACAATAAAGCTTTTTTGACAAGGAAGAAAGTGTTACTATAACATCCTTTCAGTTCCCATAGACAAAGTTCAGCGCCCAAGCCCGCGCACCCTGCTGGAAGGGATGGAGAGAATAAAAAATTGCCCAAAATATAATAAAAGTACTACTACACTCCACCAGCTCCGTGGTAAAGCGGGTAGGCGCGATTTGAGCCTTAGCGCTCAAAGAAGACAACAAGAAAAATGAGTGTGAAAAACCTTTGCCTTTCGCTCTTGCGTCTGATTTTGGTCTTATCACCTTTACCCTCCTAAGGGATGAAAAATTGCACTAGTATGAGAGGTCCTTGATATATCAATTGAAAGGCGATGGGTAAAAGAACCACAAACCCATCAAATCGTGGGGCCAGGTTGGGGAGCCTACTCCAGGGGCCGTAAGGTATGCTTCCCCGAAGGGTTGGGGACGAAAATCCTTTAAATTTTCTCTGTCTTCCCAACTGGGATTGTCCTGATAAAGGGCCTACATTTAATATATGTGTGTAGCTTAAAGTAAACATGCACTGAAAATGAGAAACAGTATCGTTCAAAACAAAAAATTTAAAGGGACTTTCGTCCCCGCAACCATTCGGGGAAGCATACCTTACGGCCCCTGGTGAGTTGGGGTCGCATCTACGCCCCCTGAAGGGAGAAGGTCGCGAAATTCTCTGTAAAGTGGGAAAGCGAGTTGACGCTGGGGTAACCCCTCCCCTCTGGATTGGTCTTAATATTACGATGAACTACCTCAGGAAAATATTGAAAACTCTGAACAAGTTGTCATCTTGCCGTCACTAAAATCATAACAGCCATTTTGAGAATGCTGAAAGCTTCTGTCAGTGACTTGACAAAGGGGCTACATCCAGAAAAGCAGGAAAAAAACCCAGCATCAAACCTCCCCTAAATTTTTCTTGCATTTTATTTGGGATAAACACTTCTAACTTCCCAAGCATTTATTTGCAGTTTTTAGTTTTAAAATGGTTTTTACAATTTCTTGAATAAAATATCTGTAATTCAGGAAAACATCTCTTACATCTCCACGGGTCATCGTGAAACGCTCCGCAATTACCATAATTTGGAACTGCAACTTGGTAGAAATTCCTCTGCAACTACGTATATGCGTCATGATTCAAATGCAGGACAACAAGAAGAAACTCAACACTCGGATCCTCATAGGCAAGATAAAACGTAAAACTAGACAGTATTCAGCAAAAACTACACAAAATAACAAACAGCACCACGGATCAAGCATACACAGATAGGTGCTAAAAACGAGAAAAAAAAAGAAAAGCAATGTGTCAAAATGTCAAACGGCTATTATGTCCAAATATAATGTCAAGGAGCTATAATGTCAATTGCGTGTAAATGATGAGGTGATTAGTTATCACTGCAAATGATATGACGAGAATAAGATCGGATACCCTGTACCTCACAGATATTAAACCGGATTCGTCGGTGAGGTTGCTGGAGTGAACTGGGGTGCCGCTGATTCCATCCTAAGAATAACAAGATATTTCTACAATAAAGCTTTTTTGACAAAGTGTAAAGTGTTACTATAACATCCCTTTTAGTTGCCATAGACAAAGTTCAGCGCCCAAGGCCGCGCACCCTGCTGGAAGGGATGGAGAGAATAAAAATTGCCGGAAATATAATATAATAAAATATAATACTACACTCCACCAGCTCCGTGGTAAAGCAGGTAGGCGCGAATAGAGCTTAGCGCTCAGAGAAGACAACAAGAAAAATGAGTGTGAAAAACCTTTGCCCTTCGCTCTTGCGTCTGATTTTGGTCTCATCACCTTTACCCTCCTAAGGGATGAAAATTGCACTAGTATGAGAGGTCCTTGATATATCAATTGAAAGGCAATGGGTAAAGAACCACAAACCCATCAATCAAAAACCCTTTAGGATGTACCAAACAATCGGTATCCGGGCGAAATCGTCAAGACATTTAATCAAACAGAACTTCACAAAGGTAAAAGGAAAAGCAAATGAAGCAAGAAATATTTCACTTAACAAGGTCAAATAAAAGGACTAATGAACTAACCTCGTTGTTTTGTCACCATCTATCACTACTGTAGTGAGCGCAAGTACTTGGCTGTTAGGTGCCGCACGGAATAGAAGCACACCAAGGCGAAGACAAATGAAAGCATCAGCAGCGCAAGCCAACTGAAAGCAACTAATTCAATTACATATTTTCGCCAATGTCAACCGTCCGTTGGAAGACTTTATGAAAGCAAGTGTGTTGTAGAAAATGGTACTGACACAAACACCCCCCTCCCTACCCGTCTCCAAATAGGGAGGAATGTTAGGCATTGTTCACAGTTTTCGAATCATCCGAATATTCGAATTCGCGAAAAGAAAAGATACGTATCGACCAGGAGAATTTCCACACGCGCGAACGCGGATGCGAAAAGGTTTAGATACGTATCGACGTAGTAAACCACGCCCTATTAGCGTTGCTAGAGGATTTTCGCACCGCCGTTTCGATGCTGCGATCTCCGATTGACTGATCGATAGACACTCATTCCTTTTAAAGAGGATTCGCAGATTCAATGCGCGATTCGACGCTCCTCCCATTTTGTGGATCGATACGCATTTCATTCATTTCGCATTTGCGCAGATTCGTTCGTTTCGAGCGTCCTTCGGCTGTGGCGCAAACTGTGAACAGTGCCTAAGGAAGGGAAGGTCTCTCTACTAAGAACTTTGTATAATGCTCATTGGCCGATGTCAGACTTTGCGATTGGAGCGATTTTGCACCAATTGCAGGAGCGACGGATCGCTTGAGCGATGCGAGCGACGGAGATTTACACCGCCGACCACCGATAATTCGGCGCCATCAGTTCGTAAATCTCCCGTCGCTCGCATCGCTTGAGCGATCCGTCGCTCCTGCAATTGGTGCAAAATCGCTCCAATCGCAAAGTCTGACATCGGCCACTCTCACCGAATCCATCGTAATAGTAGCTATAACATTACATTATGTTTCACTCTATAGGAAACCAGGCCCAATTCAATTTCAGAACAAAAATCCAGAAATTTTTTTTATGACTACTGCGAGAACGAACAAAAGTGAACTTGCACAGAAACATGGGAGTCGAAATTGAATATTTGTTTTTCAAAGTATTCAGACTTCACAAAAACTCACCGATAAGAAAAAGTACGTAATTATTAGAAGTACAGTGTATCGGAACGAATCGAAAAACCCAACTAGGCATATAAGGGTACCAAATGACAACAAAATGAAGAAGATGGCTGACATTATAAACACCTAAAACAGAAGAGATATTCGAAAGTAATGAAAGGAAGGCAGAATGAGCGGAAGCAGTCGTGACTCACCCACAAAGTGCAAGGGACAAAAAGGTTGATACCACCGGGCAGTTGTAGCACCTAAAACACTGAGAGTGAAAGATGAATAAAACATTTACTAACCAGGAATCTACCATAAATATTGCAAAAACCACAGACATTAGCATTTTAACGAAGGGTAACAAAC